CCCCCCCCCCCCCCCTATTTTCCGCATTAAAATGTCATTTCATTGAGAGCGCATCATTGCTTTTACTCTTATTGTAATTGAACTGCTTAGCTCTATTTCACCATCACAAATAAAATTCTCCCTACTTTTGAACACTAATGATAATGATTGTGAATAGATAATGAATAAATCAAATAGAGACAGTGAAGAATAAGCAGATAATGCGATCTTCCCTCAAACTCTGCTGCCCTCCTGATTCAAATCTGCTGAATTGAATACACAAACGTTTGTCGTATCAACATTAGATGGCGACAAAAATTTCGATCAAAGTCTCTTAGTCCTGTCTCTCCCTTTGATAAACACGATCTCAACAACTATATATCGTTTGCTTTCGACCAATTTATATGAGCCACAAATAAAATTTATTGTCGGTAATATAATAATTGTTTAATCTCCTTTTTTATCCATGAGCTCAGTGGTTAAAAGCACCTGTATGGGCAGAAACAAAAAAATGTGTGTTCCCAAAAAGTACCCAAAATTAAACTAAAATATAATGCTGTGGGAAAAAATCAATAAGTCAATAATCACAGAAATGCGATTTCGCATGATGGATTTTTTCCTTCCAAAAAGGCAGCGCTTAAATGAGAGAAAGAAGTGACAAAAGGATTTCATCTGTTAGACACATGGATAAATCAGGTTTTGATGCTGATTATAGTCATAGCTGTAAATCACATGTAAACTTAATTTTGCTAAACTCGAGTTCAACTAATCTGTGATAACGCTGCGAGGACGAAAGAAGCACAACAGTTGGGTCGCGGGGGTTACCAATGCCTTTGCTTGACTTAATCCCGGCATCAAGTCAAATCAACATGTTCTATGTACACGATTGATCTTTAATTGCTTGTGCGACATCTAAGCTTTGTCAAACTAGTTAAGTCGCTATTTCAATCGCTTATTAAGTTTTCCCATCTCATACCCCAGTACCAAAATATTCCAAATCAGTATCTCGATTAGACTTAAAAAATGGCTACTCTGTCCACCCTTAAACATATAAATTTAATCATTTTTCAAATTATGAAATTGGTAGCAAATTAAATTCCGTAAAATCAATTACTCGCTTTACTTTTTAAATAAAAGAGGTATTTAATTAATGGCAGACGACCTTTAGAAGATAGTAATTGTTACATCATTCCTCCGAAGGCATTTAAATCGTTCAAAGAAAATAATTGTTATTCAGTTAAAAAAATACACACTGAAGATAATAAGACAAAAAAGACATTTAAAATAGATGGTTTAGGATTACTTAATGGCCTTATTCGCTTTCCTATCTGAAATGTTTTATCATTAAGAATATTCTTGCAATTCAGTGATCTATGTTCCAGACTAAGGGGGTGTGCGATAGATTTAACTCCACGTGGTGAACCCTGGGCAACGTCTACTCATACGGCAAACAGATCTATAACTGGCAGTTCAAGAAAGTCATTAATTTTCATTTTCGTTGTTAACATTTTCTGATCAAAACGGAATATATTTTCAGGGTTTTGTAAACAACTTCATTTGTTGCACACATATATTCACAGCTGTTTCAAAGTATATTGTGTTTCCTTATCAAAGTACGGTGACCTCTACTTCTACATCACCTCATTTAACTCATCTCAGGTCATGATATAAGATAATAACATCTGATTAAATTTCTTTCGCTGCGCAAGCATCATTTTAAACATTGTTTACACTTTTGCTTAGTTTGGGATCATAAAAGTTGTTCGGGTCATGACTCTCTTATATGAACTCTCTTGCTAATTTTTATCGATAAATTAAGATATTGCGTTTGTTAAGACGTAAGATAAAGTCACGTGCTTCTGCTATCAATGTGAGTATTTGGGCGACGTATACTCATACGGCAAACAAATCTATAAACTGGTAGTTGATTTATGAATTCAAACTACAATGACCCCACTGTAATCATATTCCACCAACACCACCACCACAGTACTCATCTTACCTTTTCCCTACCTTTGTGTCTGTCTGTTTGTCTGTCTCTTACATCTGTGAATCACTCTTCTCTTCCCCTCTCCACTTCTTGTAACTTTGTCTATTCCTTCCTCCCTGTGAAGCCCGAAGTCAGCTAAGTAGTTAATGATAACTACCAAAACGCCTGTCATTAAGTATAAATAAATGTAAGCATTTTAGTGCATTTTTGGTGAAGGTTTATGAATAGACAGAATGACTTAGGTACTTGGACAACAAGCAATTCCACTTTAAACTAATAAGTATTAGTAAAGTTAAGATGCACGCATTTTTTATCCTGCCATGTGAATTAAAACTATTTTATAAAATCCCACTGGATGTAAATCTATATTCGGTGCATTCATTACTTCGTCTCTACGATTGGACTTTCCCATTGAGGTACCCATGCAGTGCACAATATTAGCCTCTGAAGCAATAGCTCAAAATTACATTAACTTAGGGCGGGTTGGAATGCCACAGTCCCCCAAACCTGTTGGAAGTTCGTTCGCAAACCTCCATGGGCCAAAATGAAGCACATGCCTGCACGCCGAGTTGCACAATGGAGAGGGTGGACAGGATGGACAAGATAGCCATTGACTAGACCAGACAACACATCCAGTGGTCGCTGTCACTCGCTGTGTGGCTAGGAGGACATGGCAGAGAAATGGCAACAACCTGTTTGCCTCTTGGTAGAAATTCCCCTTATTTTATAGGCCTTAAAGACTTCTATATTCACTTGCCAGGGGGTGTGTGATAGACCTACCTCTACGTGGTGCACCCTGGACAACGTATACTCATACACCAACAAAATCTATTAACTGGCAGTTAGCTTCTCACTTCAAACTGCCATCACCCCACTGTATGTCATATTCGACCACTTTCACAGTACTCACCTCACCTTTTTCACTCCACCTTTGTCTGTCTCTTTTACATCTTTAAGACACTCTTCTGTTCCCCCCCCCCTTCCCCCTCTCGACTTTATTTCACTTCCTCTCTGTGAAGCCTGAAGTCAAGTGAAGGGCTAATGCTAACTACCAAAATGCCTGCCATTTGGTACGAATAAATATTCACTTACCACGCTAATGCTTATTTTAAGCTTCCTTACGTTAAATTTTTACATGAGCTAATATGAATTGCGTCATACTGTATGAAGTTTTAGTTGAGCTGCGATAAACTTCCGATCATAACAACAGGGACTGATACCCGTGGCTGGGCTTATTGGCCTTAAGATTTTATAAAGCTATAAATTTGGTTTCAGCTGTTTTCAAGGGAGAGTTTATTAACAAAGGGATATCTTACGGAGCATACTGTGTTCAAACTTCACAGAGAGGGCACCGATAACTTATCAATTTGAAATACCATCGCAAATAGAACGCGCACACTTCATAGTGTACCGATTCCCTAGCAGAATTAATTTCGCAAGAATCCTGAGGAGAAATCTCCACGATCATAAGACAAAATTATCGTATATAACACTGTTGTCAAGCTAGACACACGCGATATTGAAAACTACATCCCTTTCCACTCCATACACGGGCTGTTCACTATCAACAAACGGACGAACAGAAAAAAGGTGATAATAAATTCAAACTTTATGCTATAAAAACTAGGACCGCAATCAAAATTGTCAACTTCATACATCCCAGGAAATTAGCACAAAAGTTAACAAAGGGAATAAATACACAATACACCATTATTTGGAAATTTGAAAATACAAAAGCGACAGAGTATATGAGGTGTCGGATAAAGAGTTAAGAGATGGGAAAGTGAGAAAGTGGGAAAAAACTGTTGGAAAGACGGCACTTTAAAGAGGTTTCAGCCGCGAATTGCCATGAGGCACCGGCATATTAAAAAAATCTTCCATTCTCGGCGTCCGACCGGTGATAGAAGTAGTACTGTTATCAACATCTGGAATTACTCGGTTACTATGATTAGTTACACCACTGGAACGATGATGGTCATGGCGCGAGGGTTGCTGAAACAAAAAGGTAACATAATTGACATGCAAAATAGCAATAAGATTATTTGAAATAAAAGATGAAAACTTACTAGTTCCCTATAGTGGGCCTTAAACCATCCAATCATCGATTCAAGACCGGGGAATACAATTTTTCTTAATTTCAAACCATTGTATTTCACTGAGAAGATTTCATAATGCACTGTTTGATGTGGCATATAGGCCAGATAGAAGCTACCAGGATATTTCTTAAGAGAGGATAAACAGTAAGGAATTTTGCTTTTGGCCGCACTCTTCTCTTCCCTCAGTTTAGCCTCAATAGTATCCTTTAAGCCGCCCTTCGAGTCCACATAATACTTATAGGCGTAGATCTCTTGAATATGTGTTATCATGGGATCCATGAAGAGCGCGCAAACTTCATCCAGATCGTCAAAGGTCATATTGTTAATGATGAATTTTTCGCCTGTTAAAAAGTCCTTTGGTTTACCAACCTCAGTCACATCGATATGCATGAAAATTCCATCGTCAACTTTCAAGGAGATAGTCAGATGGTCGTTAGACTTTCGACTAGGTCGAATAGTGACACTTCCAACTGGAAGTACGGGATTCATTTGCATCAATTGGTGATAGGTAATGTTTTTGAAAAATGGATGGAAATTCACTCGGTTCAAATAGGCACTTGACGCTCGTAATTTCGCCTTTTCTTCTTCTTCAGCTTGTTTCTTTAGTTCAACTTCCTCCTCGTTGTAATCGTAGAAAGGATCGCGCCTTTGCATAGCCATGGGCCTGTCCTACAGACAAAAATACCATACATTATGGACCTGCAACACACACACAAATAAATGGATATGAACGTGAGTTTACTTGAAGATCTGAGGAGCGAATAGAGATCTCAACGTTGAATTTGTTAATGTCAATTTTTAATATCTTTCCTCGTAACACTGAACCAGGCAGGAGCTTATCGAATGTGGCTTCAAGGGGGCGGTCTATGAAACGACAGGGAACGAAACCAGTTATACCATTGTCCAACTGCACTCGAATGCCCGAAACTTGGCCAAGGCAGTCATTTTCGTAATGAGGCCACATCTAAAGTAATCAAATAATAGGATAATCGAGTATACCTCGAACGCTCTCAATTAGGAAGGCAAACTTCGATTATTAAAAATTGCAGCTTTTACTTATTATAGTAAATACTTATAATTAAAAACTCCTATTCATTAATTTTACTCGAATTAAAAACTATCATCGAATGTACATAGAATTAACAAGAAATATGCGAGCAACCTCAGAATACCTTACCTCCACACTAATCTTCCATAGATGAGTCTGGAAGTTTTACATGATTTACAAATTTTAACCTCCACAAACTAACCACTATAAAAGGCGTCATACCGCAACCTTTCAAATGTGCGCAGCTCAAATGAGAACTGCCATATGGAAATAAGAAAATTCCCATCACATGAAAGCCAATATTCAGGTGCGAGACTTGTATAGAAGTCTTTCAAGCTAAACTCCACACAAACCTAACAACACCACGCTCCCTTATAACCCTGGTATCAATTAGGATGTAACCTATCATCAGCAATCAAATGAAATTTCCCTGAATTGTATAACGCGTGCTTTAGAAAGCACAAATGGAGATCAACACCTTCAAATTTTCCCAACTTGTCTTGAAACTGAACCTCAATAGAACATCCAGGAAAATTTCGAAATATGAAGATAGTAAAGACAAGAGATCAAAATCTTAATCTTAGGACTAAATTTCCACTAATTTCCCGGTAAATATTATAATGGAGGCACTGTATCCTCTGTCCAAAGTTTAACCAAATACTACGGGAAAGCAGTGCATCTTTATGAATACTTTTTTCTGAAGCTAAAAATAACTAACTGTTTCAATCAAACCTAATCACAAACTTCAGAGACTACCATAGGCAATGACCAAAATCTACATCACGACTTCTGGAAAGTAGAATAAATAAAAAACTCAACTTTTCAAAGACCACATATCCTTTCAAGACAAAGTTTAAAAATGAGCATTCACTACTCGGGGTTATTACATTCGATACAAAAAGTAGATAAATGGTCGAGTTTAGTAGGAATAGTATCGGAGTTTTTCCCAGCTTCTCAGAAGAACTGACATTTATTAAGATTTTTCAATCAGGTCATGAGAAATTAAAGTGCAACAAACTCTAGTAATCATAATAAGCTCAAAGAAAGGAAAAATTTACAAATTACGAGCATTATACTATAAAGAGGAAAGCCAAAATCAATTTGGGAATTACATCTGCCTGCTCTGGACTTGAACAAGATAAGAACAAGGATTTTGTATTGTCATGAGCAATAATACAAAAATACTCACGTCACCAAATTGCGCGAATCCTTCCTTCCTACAGAACGGACAAGTCCACAAACCCGTGTCATTATTTTTAATGGGATTCGCGTTGTCGATCTGTTCCTGAGTGGGTTTTCTGCTGGCCAAACCAATGACCTGACATTCAACAAGAGAACCTTTGTGCATTGTCTCGGGTGTCTCGTGAGTGATCATACTAAAGATCTGTTCGGGGGTGGGTGGTTCGAATGGGTCCCGATAATCACGGTAGCGCTGGTTCAACTCCTTTCGAATGTCGTAGAGTGTGATGTGTTTGTCACCGTGATCCTGGCGAGCCAATTCGTCTGCAAATGCATCCAGATCAAGCTCTCGAAGACGTGAAGGACTAAAAAATACAAGAAGCCCATTCTTAAATAATCACAATAGAACGTAAAGTAGTTGACAATGATAGACTCGAAGATTCTGCTGGTATAGAACGTTAGATATATGTTAAACGAGTTTCTCTAGGTTACTCCTACACTGAGAACTCTTTGCATTCAAAGATACTAGCAGAAACTGGAAGGAGAGTAAACATAAAGGCATGAATGAAACAAAATTTGAATGCCCATATTGTTTGATTCCCCTATCTCAAGCCATGAAGCTCTTTCAAATGGAATTTTTGCGTAATAGCAACGAGGTGTGCTGATGCTTAACGCATGGGTATGCCTAAGGAAGGAGGAAATAGTAGTGCAACGATGTCGAAGTACCCACTAATAAACAAATCGAACAACCACCAATAACTCTGAATACTCAAAGACCAAGAGCTCGAAAAGATGTTAAGAATAAAATCGGGGTATCAAAAGAACTCCTTTTTATCTTCGGTACATGTAGCCTAATACTTAATCTGCAAAAATCCAAAACAAAACATTCATGCTCAGGATGAAGTAGCTACTTCTTGTCCACAATGCCTATTACTTAACGATCGGTTGATTAGTTACAATGATCGACCTAATCAATCCAATTCACGCTATTCTTTCAAAGAAGGATAAGACCAGGTAACACTCATTTTAAATATTCACATTAATCTCTACGCCAAGGACTCAACAAACCACATAATTTGACAAGACCGGTATGGAATGATAACAACACCTAGGTAGGAGAGAGAGGGTATCATGGAGTCAATCTGCAGAGCATTACATTAAATGTACCAAATTTTACCATCTTAACTGTTCTCGTCAGCCTTATTTTTGATGTTATTTACGTGACTTCGAGTACTAACTACTGGCCTGATTCCAATTAGAAGTCAGTAGTATTGAAACTATAACTATCTGAAGCCTGATCCTTATAAATTCAAAAACAACAAAGCAAATAAAGAATACCATTAGCCTCATATATGAAAAGAACAAAACCTTGAACCTGAAAAAATGTGCTCTGTGTAGGCACTGACTAAAGTCTTAGAGGTAAATTTAGCTAACCCCGGAAGCGGCTTAATGAAAGCTAATTAAATACGTACTCTTGCATGATTTCCTCCAAGGCTAGAGTTGGATCATTGTCATCATTATCATCATATTCCAGAGCGTCAACAGCCATTTGTCGCGCGAGATCATAGCTCTCTGGGTGTACACGGGTGCAATCCAGAATTTCAACGTTAGTATCATGACTGGACAGTTCCCTCAATGATAACGTGTCGATTTTGATAAATCCTGCACAGTTTACCGCCACATTCGGTCCAAGGCCAAGAGATCTCGCCAGTAGTTCACGATTAGTTAGGAACATTTTATCGTGTTTAAGTAGCTAAAAAAACAAACAAAAAGGCCTATAAAATCACGCCCAAATGCCACTCATAACGATGTAAGCAGATATTCATACCTTGATGATATAAGCGGCTTTTCTTGGGCCTAATCCTGAGACGAATTGGAGAAGGTTAGCTGTGTGGGAGTGGAGAATGCATCGATTAAGATCTACGCCGACTTCGTTAGTTCGGTTCACGAATTCGTGTTCAAGAGCTCGTAAAAGTTTATCACGGGGTACTTCATCTTGGGCACTATGCCATCTCAGGCCCAATATTTCCATATCTGGAGCATTAAATAGTTGGGCAAATTCAGCCAAAGGATCCTGAAGGAGCAAAAACACATTAATTCTATTCAACAAAGGTATTTTTATGTAAGAATGACACATACCTGAAGTCTACGACCCAGAGAGATAGCCTCCTTGAGGAGGAGAGTGTACGAAGATGGGAGAGAGGAAGTAGCAGCTTCAGAGCGTGCGTAAACTTTCGCTAACTCTGTGTCCATCAGAATAATGTTGGGACGTCTTGAAATACGGCCATCTCCAACAATCTCATCAATCTGTCTCTGCACCACATCCTTCAGATCAAGAGAACGTCGTGAATTACATCCAATCACAATGGCTTGGGGATCACCTTTTGATATAAATTTGTCCAATTTCTTAACATCCTCTTGCTGTAATATAAAGCCAGATTGAAGTGTGCAAAACGCATCACATAATCGGTTAAAATTGAAAAGAGGGGTCAACTTACGTGCCAACGTTTATGCTCGGGTCGATGGGACTTAGGGCTAATCAGAAGACCAGGAAGATTAAGAAAGTCCAGAACTTCACCATCCGCATCTAGTTTCACGACAGTAACCATGGCCCTGGACGTTTCGGAGTCGTCAGAGAGAGCAAAAGCAAGAAGACGAGCAGGTTTTGGCCAAACAGAATTTCCATTGGAAGAGCCCTCACCGTAGTAGTGCTGGCCACCATCTTCCTCATCATCTCCCATTCCACCACCACTTCGAAGGTCATCAACGACATATGGCGCTATTCGTAGGCGCTCAAAGAGCGTGTTTGAGCATATCTATGAGAACAGAAAAGCATGATTCAAACTATTTATTTTATAGAAATTTAAAAAGAAAAAAAACGACATACGCTTATGACCGTTTTCTGGCTAGATTCGAGGAGTTTACGTTGAATTTCCTTGATTATTGCAGGCTGTATGAAAGCTTCAATTGCTTCTTTCAGAATTAGGGAACGTTGCTCATTCCAAGCCTGTGCCAAGGCACTGAATTCATCTTGATGGAAAAATGGTATCAAGTTATCCAGTAGAGAGATGCCTTTCTGCTGATATTCAAGAGCGTGTAAATTGTAGGTGATCAAACCCTCTCGGTTAGCCTGCATAGAAGAGGAAAGAAGTTTAGGTAAACTTCAAACTCTCAAAATAAAAGAGTAAAAAAACTTACACTATGGATTTGAATGAAAATTGCATTTGACATGAGTTCTTGTACTGGTTTATTCTTTAAGAACTTAATAGAAACCAGTGGATGGTTTTCATCGATAATTCGCATGCCCTTCGGGGTGGGTTTGACATCGATTACTATTTGACTTTCAAGACTCTGCCGTGCCCATCGTCGAACAATTGGTTCAGCTGCAATCTGATAAGCCAAAATATATCGTGCTGCCTTTAAAACAGACTCTGAATTAGGAAACTGCGGACAGATATAATCCTGAGCGGCATCGTGAGGCATTATAGGGCAGGTTGTGACTTCATGTCGACGATATTGATCTCGTACATTGTCAGCGAATTGTTCTGAGGAGAGACCAAATTTTTCCACGAGTCCACTAATTCCAGCTCTCTGAGCGACTTCATAAGCAGCTGTGGTGCGAACCTGACGCTGTCTAATACGACGGCCAGTTAGAGGATCTACAGTAGTCATAAGTGCTCCCATACTGGGTCGCTTCTTTGCTATCGGCTGAGTTTCCTCAGGCGGCTTCTCAGTTTCTTCTTGATCTTGCAAAGAAACTTTTTTGAGACCCTCATCAGGGACATAATCTTCGTCATCTGGGTCATCGTCGTCACCTCGGTTATCCTTTGAACCCTCTTCTTTATCTGTCTTCTAGAGGGCACAATAAGAAGTAAAGTAATATTAGGGAACCGAGATGTAAACAGATTTTTATTAAGGCACATATTAGATGAATTAAGAAGCAAAGAAATGCCCTTAAAATAATACAATGAGAAAAATGAAGACTAACGTTTTCTAATTTAAACCAAAAAATCCAATTTCTTAGCCTCTTCTCAAACTTATGTACGGTTGTCATGTAAATTAATAGCATAAAGGAAATAGTACAGACTTCTTACCTTCCTTTGAAGACTAACATCTTTGCCCTCCCAAATCTCCAAATCCTGTTTGTGAATCGCGTAATGAAGCAAGTAATCCATACGTACATCTTGAATCTCGTCCATGGATGAAGCACTTTTTGCACTAAAAAGGCAGGGCAATAAAAATAAGAGAATATGTAACTTACAGTGCCATTAGTCGAATCAAACCATCGCAACCAGGTCTAATTTCACTTTCCACCTCATTCGACTTCGATTCAAGATACTTATGCATTTTCGACATTGCATTGATGAGAACTTTACGGTCTTTTTGGAGTTCTTCCCACTTCTCATCAAATTCATAAATTAACCAAAGGTCGTTGATATTGAAGAGCTTGGCGAAATGCTCTTTTCTGTAAAAAGCTATAAAAGGAACTTCTGCAAGGGACGTCTTCATAATTTTCAGAACCTCAAAGATGCTATCCGTAGCAGAAGAGGGCTAAAAGGATATGAGAATGAAATGGAATCAGAATACTTACAAATTTCCCTTCATGGATCTTAAAAGCATTAATAAATATCCATTCCGCCTCAGCTTCAATTTCCAATAAATCATCATTGTATGTATCAGATTTGGGATCAAGTCTCTTGACGGGGAGCCTGCGAAGCTGCATGCGTTCTGGAACGTCTAAACGACGAATTCTTTCATCTTCAGGTCGGTAGAACTTGCGCTCTAGATCCGAAGGGTCGAATATATCATAAAGGACATCGTGGGAAGCAGCCTTTGCTTCTCGTTTCTGGCGTCTGCGAACCATTGCTTCCTCGCTATCCTCATCCAAATATTCAGACTCTCCGCTCACATCACTTTCCTGATCATGGTGCTGATCAAGATCATCAAAGTCAAAATCAACACCGAAAATTTCCTGCGCCTCTTGCAGATTCGGATCTGAATGAACGAATTGGCGCTTTCGTTTACTTCCTCCGTCTTCATTAACTGTGTCAACAATAAAATCGCCCATATCATCTGAATCTTCATTTTCTTCGTCGTCAGATTTGGCCTCAAATGTGGGAGCTTGACGAAGAGGTTCACGTCTTCTCTCCATATCAACATCTTCATCATCCTCAAAAATCTGACGGGCAATTGCTTCACGACTCCGTGCCTCTTTAGACGCTCTTGTGGTGCTAGCATCAGCATCATCCTCATCATCAACAATAAGACGACGCTTTTTTGTTGTACGACGCAAATTAATTCCCATATTTTCATGAATTAATTGGTAATCATCATCATCTAAGCCATCATCTTCCGCAACATCGTCTTTAGCTGAATTGTCGCTCATGCCACTTTCATTTTCCGATTCATCATCGCCTTCATCTTCATCGTCGACAATAAATCCCTGACCTTCTTTTCGTAAGATTTCGTCCTCATTAGGAAAATGATCATCATCCTCGCTATCTTCAGATGAAATGGAATCATTGTACCTCTTTGGTCTCTTGGTAACTGGTTCACCCTCTCCATCTGATACAGAAGCTTCTGAGTCGAAGAAACCCGACATCGTATAGACAGCACAGGCAAGACTGACCAAATGAGCCCCCTGTATATATCGGATAAACTGGCAATTTAAAACAAAGTAAAATATTTTTACCATCTTGCATACTCAGAAAAAAATAAGGTTTAAGCAATGTTAAATTAATTTATTTAATGACTTTTTATGCTTGAACACTAAAATATATAAACTAAATTGATATGCCCTTGCATGATAATTGAAATCTATTAGTGAATCCTTTAAAAATAATGATTGCAAACATAATTTCAAGACTAATAAAATTTGCATAATTCTATCACTGTTTCGGAATTTACAAACGGTGAAATATTTTTATTATTTGATATTTTCATGAACTTAAAATTTTTGTCCTTCATATTACAGTTCTAATTACTTGCGTAGTTTAAATGTTGTTTTCAAATAAAGTTTGTTTGCTGGGCTAAATAAATGTGAGCATGATGATCCGATTTCCCTCGGGGTAAAAATTCACGCAACCTCTTCTTAGAGGAAGTTTCGACAAGTCACATGATATAATCAAATTAATTGAACACTTTTAGTCGATTATCCACTTTTCTACCAACTTTTCTATGTAGGGCTGAAGTTAAATTGTTTTTCTCTTTACATAGAAGTTTAAAGAGACATTCTTCTTTGACCTTACTTCAAATGCTGTTATTATATATTCAATCTATATTGCTTATTACTTGTCAAAAGATATCCCACCCTTACTAGCCTAACAAAGCTTTTATGTTTTAATAAGCAATAGCCAATCATAGCAGTCATATTTTTTAAATTAACGAATAAATAGATAAAACAAAATATTAAGCTGAGGATTAAATCAATATATTTCAGAATCAGTTGTTTTGATTATCATCAGAAATTTTCAGGTCAAGCAACTTCTGAATTTTCTCTTAGTCGAAATAAAATAATCATTATATTGCAAGGAAATCGAACTATGAAAATGTCAAATCCAGTGTAAAATGCAAAAAAATTTCGATACTTTGTAGCAATATCGAATTCCCCCCCCCCCCGGTTACCCTTCGAAGTATTCATTCAGTGTCTATATCTATATCAAATTTTGGTCAACAGAAGAAACTAATATTTTTGGCTTTTCTCATTTCGTTTAAATTTCTGATTTCAAACAACCTGTTTGTGTAATAGAACTTTTGAGATTCATATTACCCTATATGACTCAGTTATTTCCACTTTATATTTTTTCCTCAGTGGAAATAATTATTAAGATTTTTAGATATCTTATTAACCTCTCCCCCAGTGTAACAATATGTCTCAACCCTTGAAGGAAGCAGCAGTAAGTTATACCTGCTTTTTAAGCAATAAACACCACCTATAAATAGAACAGTGAGTACAATAAAATAGTCCTAGAACGAGAGAGTAAAATAATTTGTCTCACTTTGAAAGGAATGGAACGTTAAGCTTAGTTGATCATGGGTGGTCCCATGGAAAAATTAATACAAAGAAGAGGCAGACATGATCATTCACCTGGGAGTGCAAATCGATATCCTAGAAACAATGTGGCTTGAGTCGCTCTGAGTGGGGGGGGGCGAAAACAGTCAGTGCACTAATGCTGCATGCATTCTAGGAGCTAAGTAGTCTAATATGCCAAATATATAAATCTACCCAATTTTAGCATTAATTTCAAATGAAACCTAAATGATCCATTAGGTAATATAAGTTGTTATAATTAAAAAACCAAAGCTTCAAAGGCATAAGCTGCTGTTAAGTTTTCATTACTTCAAAGAATGGTGCAATAACATTAGACGTTTCGAGAATAAATCCACCATTTCAGCAATAACTGAATAATAAAACAATACAACAAGATCATATTATTATGAAAAATATATGGCTCCTCACTGAAGTAAACATTTGTTCCTGATTCTCTTGATGATTTCTGAGTCACTTGGACCAATGTCTCGGAGCTCCCCACACCCCATTCACAGATCATATTTGAAGTAAAAATTCAAGCCATTTTCACTTCTACTGATGATGATATTCAGCACTACTTTAGTTAGTTTTAAATTAAAGTGAAATGTGCATCATTTGACAGTAAAGAATAAAGCAAGTACTCGAATCGTCGGGTAAAGGTAACAGGGGCTGAACATTTCACGAACATCAGCAATTCAAAATGAGAAAAAGAATGTAGCTCTGGCTCAACACGTACATTAGGGGGAAAATGAAGAAATTGTAAATAGCCTTTAAGTGGTCTCAATTTAATAGAGAAAGTTAGTCTCAAAATCCCTATTCAAATTGCCAAGTAACAAATTGAGAATTTATCTCTGATCGTAAAAGAAATTGATCTTGGTTTTTTCATTTAAACATCCGCAAAATTAAACTTGAATCATCTTGCTGGCAAATAGGTAAGCTCTTGAAGAACACCTTCGGCAGGTCACGATTTTCCTTCTCAAATTCGTTAAACTCAGGTCAATAGATTTTCTTAAAATTTCATTTTACTGTGATCTATCCCTTTTAATGAGATTAGCAATTAGCAAAATACGAGGGATATAGGAACTTTGTGTTAAAGTTGTATTTTAATTAAGACTTTCTTTATATTTACATGTTTATGCTCATCAGAGGCAAACACACGCTCAGTTGTTATATGGGCTCGGAAATCGCCGATCTTGTTTTGCATGAATTATCAAAACGAGAAATTTTAAATTTATGAATTTCATTAATTACCGCTATCTAGCTTGAGATTCGTCACCAATACCTCACAGATTCATTTAAATCAACACTAAATCAATCAATAAAAATATGGCCTGAGAATAAATTTGTTTCATTATATTATCACTAAATGTATCCAATATTATCCCAAAAAATGTAGTTTTAATCACATGGCCGTCAGAAAATGTAAGTGAATATACGTGTGTTGAACAGTCAAGCGGTTAGCGCACTCATGTCCACATTCATGAGATTAGTGTGAAAGAAATTAGGTTATTGCAATGTGAGTTACGTGAATTGAGCATTCAATGCTTAACAAATTAACAGGAGCCCTGGATTTAAATAAATACTTCTCTTTGAACTCCCTAGTTAACTCTAACTAAAATATTTTGTAAATTCACGTATTTTCTTGCTGTTCTATTATTTCAACTTGTGCTGCCATGGAAAATAATGCGCTTTCAAATAAGCTGATCCATATACTGACGTTTGGCTAATTTTGCCTAATCTTCTAATTCAATTATTGGGAGACTTGCCTCGTCTTTCTAAGATTTAAAATCTCCCATCACAGTTAAGTTGTGATATAAAATAATATTAGGGAAGGTAATATGATTGCTCACTTTCTTATTACGATCAAAATTTTAAATCCCGTAGGAGTGTGACGATAATTGCTCTAATTGTCTGGATTGAAATGATGTCACGATGTCTAGTATTTTACCTATCCTTATTCATAATTTGTGAAAATGAAGGCATATCCAGACTCAGCTTCAATAGGAGAAGTAAAAGAGCCATTTAATTCATTCGAATTGAATAATCAAAGGGTTTGCTCATCGATCGATAACATTATTATAGAGTTTTATGCACCTCCAATGTTTTAAACTGTGCACCTGTGCTCGGCGATTTAATACTGTCAAGGGAGAGATGCAATTATGAATAATTATTCAATCTCTTTCATTTGATAAAATTGATGTTTAATGGCTTTTTCCTATTCCTATTAGAAGTAACGCTTATCCTTCTATAAGAGCGTATATGAACTGCAGAAAAAATATTTTGTAGGTGAAAAGTATAACTCTTCATTGCTGGGATGTTGGCTTATAGACCGTAATAATTGATGATAAAAGGTAATAAGAGCTCTAAATTTGAATATTTATTGAACCCTCATTGCACATTGGTGATTTTTTGGTTTTTCCTGAAGAGGAATGAATGTTTTCTGAAGAAATGGCAGAAAATAAACCTATGATTCTATAATTACGATTTTATAAATTTATGAACATAATACCTGAAATTTTGGAAACTTCCTTAACTTGACAAGTTAATAAATTTCGCTATGATCCTAAAGCAGATCAGATTTTGTCAAATATTTTGGAAGGGGTGAGGATGCAGGCCGAATCAATCTCAGAGATATCCCAGTGTTCGTAAAATAAAACGGTTATTGTGGAGGTTAGGAACACATGTAAATGAACAGTTCAAAAGTTTCATTCATCCTGTGATTGTTACGAATCTCACTTTCAACGAAATTATCTCGATTCAACTTGTATTATTTGTTGAAAAGTCATCGGAACTTTGAAATTTCTTCAATTGACTTCCACTCGCCCAAGTACACGATGAAGACTGCATGACATTCTTGCCACATCAGTAGTGCTTTTTAACCTTCCGAGTAAAATTCCCAAAAAGTTTTAGGAAATCAGAACGTTGGACACCAAGTGTGAACTCTGGTTAATACAATTACGCAAATCGAACTTCTAATGAAAACGTGTTTCGGAAAGTTTTACTTTACTTAAAACTCCATCTATTTAATTATTTATACCTTGCCTCATTTTTTTGTCCAAGCGTCCAGTCAGGTGATGAAACCAATAGTCATCTTGAAGAAAATCATGAAGCGGAATGGAAATCCATGAAATTTATAACAAATGGCAGGCATTTTGATAATTACATTAGCCCTTTAGGTGACTTCAGGCCTCACAGAAAAGAAGAAATATCAATGTGGAAAAAAATTTCGAGAGGGGAGGGGACAGAAGAGTGTTTTAAAGATGTAAAAGAGAGACACAAAGGTTGAAAAAGGTGAGGTAAGTACTGTGGGGTGAGGGTAGTTTGAAGTCAGAAGTCAACTGCCAGTTAATAGACTTTTTTGCCGCATGAGTAAACGTTGCCCAGGGTGCACCACGTGGAGGTAAGTCTATCGCACACCCCAAATCCATGAAGTAATCTCCATAAACGTGTTACTATAAGGAGACGAAATAACGAGAGGATATGAAGCAGCGTCCTGAACTGGTTTTTGAGATTATGGTTGAAACGAAGCGAGTATTGAAAGCGAATGCTATCGGAAGGATAGTGAATTGAGA